GTTAACAATCTTTGTGAGAACTGGGAGGAGATCCTCACATTTGCTAACCAGTGTGGATGGCATAGGGTCAAGAGGGCAGGATTTAAGGGCGGAGTTCTGGATAAGCTGTTTAATATCTCGAACTGATAGCATCGTAAAAGTAGGGAATGGTGGCACAGTTTCATCAGCAGACGAAGTGTCACCTTCTGGATATGAATCAGTCTGCTGATCGGTGTCAAGCTGCGTGCGGATAGTATCTATCTTCTGAACAAAGAATTTCCCCAAGTCGTTAGAGAAAGTTTTACTGTCCAGATTAGGTGGGAGACCATCATCCATTGTGCGCTTAAATAAGCGCTGACTTGCACGGAATAGTTTCTTTTGATCACCGCTATTTTCATCTATAAAGTTACTGTAAAACTCCCTCCGAGCCTTGTTCATAAGACGGGTAGTAAAATTACGTTTTGCTTTAAAAGCAGCAAGATCGGACTCCAATCGAGATTTCCTCCACCTCTTTTCAGCCTTCCTTCGCTGACGCTTCGCCTCCCTGATCTTCTGACTGAACCATGGAACACGAGGTCTCTGAACAATTGTTCTTGTCATTAACGGTGCGTGCTTGTCCAAAGCAGCCATGAGGGTATTGTTATAAGATGAAACAAGTTCCTGTAATTCATCAGATGGATTCTGGCACAATTCAGAAGTAGCCAAGTCCTCATTCAAGGAGACTACGTTGACTGAGTGCAATTTTCGGTAAGAAACTTTCCGCACAGAAAGTGGTGGCTTATCACAGCGGATAGAACAAAGGACAGTTGCATGGTCAGAAATGTACCGACTAATACGCGGTGTATTCCCTAATAACTGACCAGATTGACGTGTGATGATCAAGTCAAGGGTGTGGTCATGTTTATGAGTGGGACTTGTAACATGCTGTTGAAGTCCATATGACTCCAGTAAATCGATCAGTTTTCTGGCGTCAGTATCCTCTACATTATCCACATGAATGTTAAAATCTCCAGATATCAGGAGCTGTTCCTGGCACAATACAATAGACTCTAAATAATCAGCGAGCTCCGAGAAGAATGTGCTGATGGGCACCCTGTGCACACCGGAAAAGGGTGGTCGATAGAGTATGATAACGCGGAGATTATGAGAGAATGGCTGCTGAACAATCAGCTCAGAAAACTCAAAAGATTCTTTCACACCGGCACTTATCTTCCTCATATGAAGTAAGTCTCGATAAAGAAGAGCTGTTCCGCCACCAATGCGATCAGTACGCGGATGGTCGCAAAGCTTGTGATTTGTAGGGCACAACTCATTTCTAACTGCATCATCATTTGCAGTTAGCCAAGTCTCTGTGATTGCAAGCAGATCTATTTTACATTCACAAACTTTAATTTCTTGGGTTTTCCCTCTTTGTCTTATAATTTGTTCTGTTTTCATCAGTTTATATTTAACATCTTCGATACGTATGATAGTCTTAGCCGTATGTTGTGCGATCCTCGATATTTTCTCCAGCTGCATGTTAATTTTTTGTTTTATTTCCATGGTAACAGTAATATACAAGCAAACCCGGTCATCCGCCATCTTGGCAAAACAGCTTCGTTTCAACCACCGAGATTTGACATTCAACACAAATGACAAGTCAGCAGTTGTAATGTTGGCAGTTGTGGTGGCCTTCGCTCTAGCTTCTTTCGCAACTTACTTGCGCTGTGACTTTCTTCAGTTATTAGGAAAGCATAAAACTCAAGACTTCTCGTGTAAAAGTGACTTTAAATTTAGAATACCTATGTTAGTTCTGAACTCGGCAATTAACCCTCTGGCGTATGCTTTCTTCAAGCGTGACATTAAGAGAGCCTTAAAAGGGAAATAGCTTTCTTAAGAGACTGGTCGATTTACCAAAATGCATTTTTAGATATAGAGGATATTACATGGCCGCGCGGAGATACGAAATTTCTCTTCGAGTTCTCGACAGTTATGCAAACCCTCGACTTCGTCTAGGCTTTGCCTAACTGTCTCGAATTCTCTCAACCCCTATGGTGTTCATATCAGGCAATGCAAACACAGAAAACGTTTTCTATTGCTTAAATGTTGATGTTCGTGTATCTGCTTAACTTTATTGTTATGTTTCAATCCTATCATTGTAACCTTTTTTACTTTTCCTTCCCGCCTCGATGAGCTGCAGGCTACTTTGCGGGCAAGGATTAATCATGGCATGTATGCTAAGTGTTTTTAATAAACTTGAACTTGAACTTGAAACTTGTACTTAAACTTAAAATTTACAATGAATGTTTTATTTCAAGAACCAATGCGCTTCTGGTACCCTGAGTTGCAGCTGGCGCACGTATCTTCTAGACCATTGATATAAGAGGGTCCCCAATAGGTTTCTCGGGATCCGGGATTGTACTTATTTTAGGCTAGGGATTCGGGATTATAAAGCAAAATCGGGGCAAGATTCGGGATTGAAAGTATGCTAATCTAGCCTGCGTTGCAGCCGGCCCACGTATCTTCTAGACCATTGATATAAGAGGGTCCCCAGTAGGTTTCTCGGGATCCGGGATATCCCTTATTTTAGGCTAGGGATTCGGGATTATAAAGCAAAATCGGGGCAAGATTCGGGATTGAAAGTATGCCCGTAAGGTGGGATGTCAAAAATAAAAATGGGATTACGGGATTGCACGAAATTTTGGGTCGGGATTACGGGATTGAAGAACCCCATTGGGGACCCTCATATAATATACAGGCGGTTAAGAGTGTCTGCGACGCAAGCTCGCTTCTGGTTGGCACATTAATGTCAAAAGGTGACGTCAGCGGGAGTATCACTTTTCACTCCAAGTGTTGTGATGTGTGCAGTTCTAACCAAAGAGATTGTAAAATATTGGCATTATGGTGATGAATTCCTTTTCGTCATCATATATTACTTCATTTTTTCTCGGTCTCCGGTCGATAAAGGTTTAAAGACTCCTCTTTAGTGTAAAATTTACCTTTCTCTAGTGTTTTTTGTTTTGTCTTTTATTTTATTTTATTTTTTAAGTATAGGAAAATGATACCCTCTTCTAGACCTAAACTCTCTGATTTATATGCCCTATCCCAGCGTAAACTGCTTGAAAACCATACCCTTCACAGCGGCCCTGAACAATATTTGGTGTCAAGAAGTAGCAAGAAACGAAATAGGAAACTGAATACAATACCACAGGCGGCTAAAGTTTACATCTGTACTGTCAAATGCCAAAGGAAAAAGCATATTGAAAACACATTTGAAAACCAAAGGCCAAGCACAAGTCCCTTCTTCATAAAAAGAACGCATCTCCATTGAACCCAGTAAGCTTGTTTTGTTTACAAGGCAGGTAATTTTCCATTGGGATACATGCTGTTTTTGTGATTGACATGCAAAGCTGAACACAATGGAGATTACATTGCAATTAGAAGGTGATGGAGAAGGATATAAAACTACCGTAAAATTCCGAAAATAAGCCCCTCCATGTAAAAGCCCCTCCAAATATAAACACCCCAATCCGTTAACGCAAAAAACCCTCCGTTAAATTGCCCCTCCAAATATAAGCCCCCGGGGGCTTGTACTTGGAAAATTGCCCTCAAATACAAGGTAAAACAAAGCAAAAACGGCAAATTTACTTCCAACTATAAGGCTAGCCCAATCGATTTTGAAACGCACATTTCCCTCCGTAGATAAGCCCCTCCGAATATAAGCCCCTCCAAAAGTAAGCCTCAAGAAGGGCCTTTGAAAAATATAAGCCCCGGGGCTTATTTTCGGAATTTTACGGTATTCTGATGGATCCCATAGCTATTGATCAGCCTCTCTTTTTGGTCAATTCTGACGAAATCGAAGTTGCGATGATCGCTTTTGATGAAGCGAAGATCCGCGACGAACGCATCGCCATCCGTTCATTTTTAATTTGACAACAACAGTCGTCCGATTCGCCCCATACTAAGGCAATCCAAGAATTAATACACTCTCGGATTCTGGATTCGACGCCGTAGATTCCGAATTCCAGGTCCAGGATTCAGGACTTTTGTCATTAAAACTTGGATTCCGGATTCCCATCAGTAGCGGCATTCCGGATTCCAAAGCCCAGGATTTCGAATTCCAAGCAAAAATTTCCTGGATTTCAGAATCCGCGGATTCCCTAAATGGGAAGAATGCGATGATGCCCGAGCAATCTGCCAAAGATTGCGCTGCACGTTCAGCGTTTTTGCTTTGCTTAAACCTGTGATCTTTTTTTTTTATTATTTTCTTGTTTCCTTCGTCGTCTTCGTAGTTGTGCCCGAACTCTCTAGTAACATTACCACGCAGAACAATTCTTGATCTATGCGAACATTTCGATTGATTTCCTAAAAAAACCGACGATTTGATGGAAAATGCGCGGCGAAATTAACCTGGTTCACTGATGCTACAAATTCTACAAGGTCAAAAGATTCTTCATTTTTGCGCTCTAGTACATGCATGAGAAAGTACCAACCAAAAATATTCATGTGGCTCGAAAATTTCCTTCCAAATACAAAACTTAGAATGTTCACTTTTAGTGTATTATCACTAACTTACGACAATTCCTTCTAAATGTTATCTAATGTAGTCACAAGCCAAAATAGGAAGGGAATTTCCACGTTTTGCATAAACGTTTATCTATTGTTGACATCCAAAGTTTTAATCGCTTAATTAATACCGTTTATTAGAATTAACAACAGGTGAATCAAGACAATTTAAGACAGAGCGGCGTATTGCATTCAATAATAGGAGCCTGAACGCTCCAGAAGATTGTCTTTCGTTGAGTTAAGCTTCAGTTTTATTTAAATGTGAAGAAGAACGAAATTGAAAACCGACCCTTCCAATTGGTCTAAATGCTTTTGCTGTCCTATACTGTAAACTTAGCAATCATAAATTGACGTATTGATTACCTTTATCGTGTTCATCAGATAGGGGGCAAACGTTATCAGATGTTTATAAAATAACAAAACTTTTCTTTGACATAAACTTCAAGGCCCAGCTAAAGTTCTGGACCGATAACATAATGGAAACTTGGTTTTGGATTCTTGGCTGGATTCTGTCCATTCTGACGATAGCTGGAAATGGTTTCACCGTACTTCTTGTGGGCAGTCAAAGTCGGCTTCGCACCAAAACCAACGCACTGATCGTTTCACTTGCAGTGGCGGATTTCTGTGTTGGGGCGTTTGCTGTTCCTTCACTATTCGTCTGTCACATCAGAGGTGGCTGCAACTGGCCCCAACCCTATGCGTCCTGGGTGGATTTTATAAGGTGGCTCTTTGTGTACGCCTCTAAAATGAACCTGTGTAGCTTGGCACTGTATCGGTATATGGCTGTTGTGAAGCCACTGAAATACGTCACCTTTATGACCGCGCGACGTGTCACCCAACTAACATATTTCTCTTGGCTTATCGCTCTTGGTTATGTAATTTTTTCTGTTATAATGGTTTTAAATCTAACGTTTTCTTCATATATAATGGTCTTAAGCGTATGTTCTACAGTCCTTGAGATTTTTTTCAGCTGCATGTTAATTTTCTGTTTTATTTCCATGGTAACAGTTGTATACAAACAAACTCGATCATCAGCCATCTTGGCAAAACAGCTACGTTTTAACCATCGAGGTTTGACGTTCCAAAAATATGACAAATCAGCAGTTGTAATGTTGGCAGCTGTGGTAGGCTTCGCTCTAGTTTGTTCTGCAATTTCCATGCGCTGTGACTTTCTTGAGTTTTTTGTAAAACATCCAACTCAACACTCTACGCCGTGTAAAAGTGACTTTGCGTACAAAATACCTATGTTAGTTCTGAACTCTGCAATAAACCCTTTGGCATACGCTTTTTTCAAGGGTGATATTAAAAGAGCCCTAAAAGGAAAATAGCTTTTAATTTCTGCTGAGGTTGGTCGATTTACCAAAATGTATTTTAGGTTGTAAATTCTTAAAATGTATCCCAGGTTGAAAAAATTTTGCCTCGAATTTATTTTGACCTGTAACACTTACATTGTATGCTTCAAATAAACTTAGTGAACGTGTAGGAGACATCACCATATTTACAAATATTGTTTTTGTTATGCAAATTTGTAACGCATGAAGCAAAAGAGTGTTTTGTTTCAACTAATGCGCTTCTGGTCGAAAAAAGTGTGCACGCAACAATCCCGAAAGGTATTGTGGGTGGTTCTGAGTTCACGGTTCTTCAATGAAATTTGAGAGAATGGCACGAGAGGCCAAGGACTTATGTTTGCGGTTGCTTAAGGAAAGCAAAAACAGAAGATTCGACAGCTACAGTCAGGTCAGGAACAGTGTATTGATCATATCTCATATTACCTTTCGGGATTGTCGCGTGCCCAATTTTTCCAACAACCTCTCTCGAAATAGCTCTATACAGTCGGTTGAGATTGTTTAGGACGCAGGCTAGTTTCTAGTTGGTACATTAATATCAAAAGGTGACGTCACCATGAGTATCGCTGTTCACTCCAAGTGTTGTAATGTTAATTATCGGCATTTTTTGTGATAAATTCCTTTTCGTTATCATTACACCATTTTTTCTCGATCTCCGGTTGACAAAGGTTTTAACAACTCCTCTTTAGAATAAAATTCAATTGTCTCTCATGGTTGCCATAGCCAAAGGTTTCTGAATTTCCATGACGTTTTCCTGACAAATGTAAAATTTCCCTCACCAACTGAATTAGCAATTTTACAAATTAGTCCTGATAATGGGCTCAACCCTCCCCTCACGGCCATCCTCTCCAAGTCACGTGCAGTGTACATGATTATTGGTAGTTCCTTAATAATATAAAATGCAAAATTAAACTGATTTCCTTGAAAACCAACACCAGCTTGTCATTCAATTTCATGAGCAATATAATATTTTACCGGTACAACATGATTCAAGAATGTAAAATGCACAAAAGAATTTAAAATGTTAGAAAGCAATAAAAGTAGGGGGGAAAGAATAAATATCCATATCTACTCTTGAAATTTTACTTTTCCCTGACTACTTCCAAAGACTTAAATTTTCCCTGAATTAAAGGGACACTCCCTGACATTTTAGAGATCTTGAAGAAATGTTTTTCCCCTGACCTGTCGTAATCATGTCAGTCTAGTGACGTGTGTGTGTGTGTGTGTTATTTTTTTAAAAAGTCGTGGACGTTAGCTTCCACTTCACTCAGGAGGTGGATAGTGCTTTTGATTGGCTGATTATAAGTCATAAAATCATGCTTAAATGGTTCTAATACCCTCACATTGGAGACTTCCGGGGCCCTAACACTAACCATCAATGAGACAATAGGAATCAAAAGCGAATATATTGTAAATTGTCATTTAAGATTATTACCTTGTCTGACCAATATTTTCGGGTCGAGAGGTAGCAAAAACAAAAAAAAACGAAATGGAAAACTGAATACAATACCACAGGTAGCTAAAGTTTACATCTCTACTAACACATGTCAGAGGTAAAACGTATCATTTGAAAGTACATTTGAAAACCAAGGGCCAAAGCAAACAGCCTTGTGGCGATTGCCTCTGCTTATGTCCCTTCATCATGATGAGAATGCATCGCTTACCTTTAAGCTTGTCTGTTTACAAGGTAGGTATTTCCTAGAGTGGGAAACAAGCTGTTTTCGGGATTGATATGGAAAGCTGAACATGATGGAGAAGGACATAAAACGATTCTGAAGGACCCATAGGAGGGTGTCAATGGGGTGGTAGCTTTGACGGGCAGACGGTTAATTTTTTCCAATTTTGATGGTTGACAGCTAAATTTTAGAACCTTTGACGGTTACGAAGTGGACATTTAGTCCAATAGTCAGCAAATATTAACTTCAATATGAGTTAATATCATCTGTTGCGTTTTGGAGGTTATCTTGGCATTTCACTCACAAAATTTCTAAATATTTTCAAATATAAGCGAGTTGTAATGTCTTTTAATGTCTATATAGAGTGTTTTTAGAGCGTGGGAACTGGTTTATCCAGTTTAGATAATTCTTCAGAAGCCAGAATCCTGTAAAGATCAGCTGAAATAGTGAGATTTGAAATACCTCGACACTTTTTGACGGTTAATCTTAATCTGTATTTTTGACTGTTGACGGTAAGAAATAACTTTTCTTGACGGTTAACGGTTAATTTCTAGGCCGTTTTTCGGCTCACTGTTAACCCCATTGGGACCCTCCTACTCATGAGTATTTCCGACGAACGAAAACGAAGTCGCGATGATCGCTATTGATGAAACGGCGATCTTAAGAGATAAAAGCGACGCTCTTCATCCCCATTCCGATCAAGTTTGGCAACGATAGTCGTGCGACCGGCCCGGAGTGCGATGATGACGAAGGAATCTGCCAAAAATTTGTGCTACACGTTCAGAGTTTTTGCTTTGCTTATTTAAAAAATCTGTTGCCTCCGTCGTCGTCGTGATTGCGCTCGACCTCACTAACAACACGCAAAACAATTCTTCATATGCGACGATTTCTTTGAAAAACCGACGATTTGATGGAAATCTCTCATAGAGAGGCTAGAGCTTTCCACAAATTGCTCGAGATTTTCAAAAAAGTTTGCCGTAATTTCTCAAAAAATAGCTCAAAAAACAATCAACACTTGCTTTTCGTCTCAAAAGTTGCTCGAGTAAACAAAAACTTTTTTGGTCTTATGCTGAAATATGCAAATGGTACAGCAAAAGTTAGATTTCTAGGCATTTTTGTGCAATTTTGCTGCGTAACCAGCGTTGCTATATAACTTTGTCCTCAATTAAAACCAAAAAATGTAATGAGCCAATAAAATTATTGAATGACCCCCTTCACCCGAGACACTCAAGTCAGTCGAGTGGAAATTTTCTTCCACCATTTTGAATTTTCTCAAAGAACCGCTGACCTAGCAGCCCGGCTATTTTTATCTTGCGCCAATGATCTGCCCCAGGAAGGGGGGGGGGGATAGATAGATAGATAGATAGATAGATAGATAGATAGATAGATAGATAGTTAGATAGATAGATAGATAGATAGATAGATAGATAGATAGATAGATAGATAGATAGATTGATTGATTGATTGATTGATTCACTTTTATTTCAATACGGTAATTTCATAAGTTACATAACTTCTTTACATGAAAGCCGTATAGAAACAGAAGTAAATACTGTACAACTACACTAAAAATATGTACAAATAATAAAATATAGTAAAATGTAGTCAACAGTTTGCCTGCCTACTAGCCAGTTTTCTTTTAAAGATAGCTTTAGATTCGGACGCTTTTATGTCATTTGGTAAAGAATTCCACAGCATTCCTCCTCTGTATGAGAAAGACCCCTTATAATATTCTGTTTTTGGAACGTGGTCCAGTACAACATTATATTCCGCATTTCTTAGCATAGACTTATAAGGGTTGTTCTCACAGACATTCGAGAAAAGATCGCTTAAGTAACTAGGTATATTTCCATTCACTGTATCATACATTAGTAGACTTAAGTGCCTCTGACGCCTCGAGGCAAGCTCTTCTCAGTTTAGTTGTTTTCGTATTTGTGCTCAACGAACATCATAACCTTGAAAGGTTATTATGCGTGCAGCACGATTTTGTAATTTCTGGATCCTAGTGGCAAGTCCCTGGTCTAAATTGTCCCAAACAACGTCGCAGTAGTCGAACACAGGCTGGATAAGAGATTTGTAAATAGTATTTAGAACATCTAATGGTACATAATCACGTGCCTGTTTTAGACCACTGATCGGGATCAATTGACTTTTGAACAAAGTTTGTCAACATGCTCGTTCCATTTAAGGTTTTCATCTAACTGAATTCCTAAATATTTTGTTGTTTGGACTCGTTTAACATGATTGTTGCCAATCTTAATTGGAAAGTCTCTTCCTAAGTTAGATAATTTGAAGGTAGTTGTTAAGAACATATACTCCGTTTTAGTGACATTTAAGCTTAACTTATTTGCAAGAAGCCAGTCCCTAACGCGAGTTAGGTCATTATTTACCTTGGCATATAGTTCAGCAGTGGATACAGAGGACGCATATATCGTGGTATCATCGGCATACATGTGTGCTTTGGTATGGAGAAGACATCCAGGGAGATCATTGATATAAATTAAAAACAACAAAGGGCCTAAAATTGAACCCTGTGAAACACCACAACTTATCAACTGGGGCTTAGATACACAGCCCTCTACTACACACTGCTGTTGCCTATCTGATAGGTACGATGAAAACCAGTCGAGCGTTACACCCTGCAGACCATAGAGCTCAAGCTTTTTTAATAAAATATTATGTGAAACGGTGTCAAAGGCTTTGGCAAGATCGAGAAGCACAATCAAATTGGTCATACCTTTGTCAATGTTAAGATACCAATTATTTGTTAAATGTAACAGCGCTGTCACTGTAGAGTGAAGGGAACGAAATCCAGACTGGTTTTTTGTCAACAGGCCATTTGAATTTAAGTACCTGTATAGTTGATCGTAGACTACCCTTTCACAAATCTTAGAAATGGCTGGCAAGACAGATATTTGTCTATAGTTTTGTGCATCTGTGCGATCATCCTAATTATACAAAGGAAATACTTTAGCCATTTTCCACTGTGAAGGAAAGAGGCCAGTATCTATGGTTTTGTTTATGATACAGGTTAAAGAAGTGGCAATAATTGGGCCAGCTTCTTTTAGAAGCCGACATGAGATGTTATCAAGGCCAGTGGCCTTGTTCGGAGATAATTTACCTAATAACTTTAAAACTTCAGTGGCAGAGGTATGTTGTAAATTAAAAGTCGTGGAAACAGGCTTTATGTAAGAGTCAAAACTTGTATTTCCACTAGGCAGTGTGGAGGCTAGGTTTGGACCGACAGATGTAAAATGGTCATTAAAATCTCACACATTTCTGCGGGTTTTGTGAAGGAATTATCAC